CATGGCCGCAAGTTGCTAATCTAATAAAATTTACACTAGAAAAACCCGCGGGAACTGTCAAATTCAAAGTTATTCGTTTCACAGACTATATATTCGCTTTTCTTATATGCTATGTAACAAGTCGAATTCTGAGCTCTATAGAAGATCTGTTTATAAAAGAAAACACCGTATATTAATTAAACACATAAATTGTTTTAAAACTATCGGCATTGGTGCTCTGGGCTCTGGGCCCCCGCATCGCCCGCATGATTACGGTAACAGGTGCGGCAAATAAATTGGAGGTACTCAAAATCAAGCGAAGGCGACTATTAGGGTTCAGAACCGGGGAAATCTTGAAACATCAAAGAACCGGGACTCGAAATTATTAATTCCCGGTTCTTTCGGCACTTTCGAGACTCGGTAATAATAATTAAAAACATTTTTTGTTATGTGCGAAATACTTTTGATACTTTCTAGCGGTCGAAATCAAACTCTTCTAAATAAGTAGTGATGCTATCTCTTACTCTTCTTGCTTCTGAAGTTATTTTGAAGTTTCTATAATGTTTATTAGCAATTATTGAAGTTTAAATATGTTATTTTATTATTTAGTATAATATTGCTAAATGTATTAGGTATATTTTTTTGTGATATGTATTTATAGGCATTTGCATCTTTAATTGAAAATGTTTTTTTTTAATTTAGTTAAGTTGGTCTCGAGGTTGGTTGATGTTGTTTGATGTAATTTTTAAGCTACCTATGTGTTTTCTTTTTTTTTCGCTTGTGTTCATGTTTACTTTCTCATGACTTAATAATTTGATATTATTTTCATCTCAATTTTTTATCGGTTTTACTTTTGAGAACCATCCCTTGCTTACTCATTGACGAACTCCACAATCATTGAACGAAAATATTTTAGTACTGTTCGGCTAACTCTAATTAATACTACCAATTAGGTTTCATTAGGGTTCAGATCTTTTTGGCCATCACAGAATTTTGTTACGTGAAAAAGTCCTTTGATACTTTCTAGGGATCGAAATCTTCTAAATACGTAATGATGCTATTTCTTATTGTTCTTGCTTCTTTTCTCTTTTGAAGTTCCAATAATATTTATTATGTTATGTTTTAATAGATATTTGCTTTTTTCAATATTTTAGGGCTTTCGACTCAAATTCACTTAAGTTGGTTTATGTTGCTTGATGTGAAATTTAAGTTACCTATACTTTTTTCTTTACTTGTGTTCTTGTTAATTTTTTCATTATTGATTACTTAATAATTTGATATTATCACAGATTATACAGATTATAATCTTTGTTTTTTCTTTATTGTTTTTCGTGGTTCCAATTTTCGGAATCGGGCACTAATTAGGTTACTAGTTTGCGCACATAGCACGCCCACTTATGGCCTGTAAAATCGTGCATAGCGCCTGACCGGCACAGTAGAGATATATCGGAAAATTAATAAAAATTGCTTAAATGGGCATGTGCGGGTACTTGACAACCGGGGCCGGCGGGCGAGAGCTTTTATTTTAGGTTTAGGTTATGTTTGAATTGTTTTGAATTATTACTTTAGTTTTATTAGGTAATTTGATATTTAAGTAGCTGGGATTAGTTTTAATTAAATAAATATGGCCCAAAATATGGATTCCACGTCTTCCAATATTAAAGAACCTATAAAGAGGCTTAGGTTTACAGCTTACAGCAGATGACGACTTAGCCCTTCTAAGAGAATTTGTTGCTTGTTGCCCTAAACCCACTGGCAGATGTTGAACAATAAAGCACTGGAAATAAGCACTTTAGCCCTTTAGTTTTAAAATACCTAGTAAACAAAACAATTTCAAAGTTTTAAATTCAAAGTTAGGTTAAGTTTGAATAGCGGACGCGACGCGAACAGAATTCTTTCCGATCCGATAATTATAAATGAAGAGGGTTAAAACCACCTCACGTAAAGGAAATAACACCTGGCTTTATTATCGTCTATGCACGCTATTCGGTTTAGCGATATCTCTCTATTACGCTGTTTATTGTTATTTTACGCGAATTTATTTTTGCGCACTGGAAATTTTACTCGTTTGCACATCGTCATAAAAAAACATTTTCGTACCACGAATTAGGGACAAGATTTTTATCTGTATACTTATAGGATACCTAATCTGTGATATTATTTTCATTGAAAATCTAAATTTTTTATCCATTTTACTTTGAAAAACCACCCTTTACTTGTTGGTTGATGAACTGCACCACCATTGAATAAAAATTAGTCAGTACTTAAAGTACCGAAGAAACAGCGAAATCCCGTCTCCTATAAGAGGCGCGGTACCGAAATTTCCTGTTCCGAAAAACAGCTCCGGTTCCGGAAACTCTAGTGACTACTCCATTCGCCCAACGTACGGAGTAATAAAACTTTTCATTTTCACCCCGTTTACCCCAATTGGTCATTTTTCGAAGATAATCGGACCGTTTTACACTGTATCCGCTTATCTTTCACTATGCCCGCTTATCTTTCGAAAGCTGACCACTAGGAGCAAAACGGACGAAAAAGAAAAGTTTTATTTTTCTTTGCATATTTAGCTACTGAATAAGCTGAGCTATTACGCTAAATTGTTTACATTAATATGTTCCTTGTACAGGGTAAAACAATCTCTAAGATTACAGAATCTTTAGTCTCTCCAGCAAAGGAATATGTGATTTCGACAGGCATACATAAAAATGAGGTAGAATATATAAAATCTAATCAGGTTATAGAAAATATTGTTTATTTATCATTTGAATATCTAGATGAAGAATCTACAGTTAAATTAGCTAAAATATATTAAGTGAGAGATGGTATATCGACAGACAATTAACTTTCGTAAAATTGACCGAAAAAACTATTCTTGAATTAACAAACATCTATCACTGTCATACAGGATGTTTCAAAAAACATGTGCCGTTTCTCGTGGGGAGATTCCTCACGTAAAAATAAGATTTATTTTTTATATCAACATAGGTCCGATTCTGCTTTATTTGGTAGCTACAGGAGGTTAGAGTTTTAGTTTTTTCCCAAGTACTTTCGAAGCGATTCGAATGAAATTTTGACAGTAAAAGTTATTATAAGTTCGACATATTTTATCGCTAACGGGACGTGTATATGGGTTATCATTGGATCTTTCTCTTGTTTTGCCGTTAAATGCTGATTAAAAGTTGTCTCTTGATATTTTGTAGATTTCAACCTTTTGATGGGATAAACGCAATTTTATTAGTTTGCCTTAATTTAAGTCTAATAGGAACCTTTAAAAAATAATATCATTAACTTGCGACACTGTTAAATAAGTAGTGTGTAAGTGACCGATTCCCTATCAAACAAATATGAAAAAAAGGTCCTATAAACATGGGTATGGAAATGCATAGTTTTAAACTTTTTAAGTTAGGTCTTTTGTAATTATCTTAAATACCATTATAATTTTCATTTGAATGGATTAATAGTAAGTGAATAACTAATATGGCTAATACTAATAAGATTTAATGATAAATTAGATAAAATAAATAATTTAATAATTTTATTTTTATTTTATTAATTGTGATTAATAAAATTGCGTTTATCTTATCAACGAGATCGAAATCGACAAAATATCAAGATACACCTTTTAATTGGCATTAAACGGCCTATATAATTTTGATCCAGAGATAACCCACATGCACGTCCCTGACGAATCTGTTGACACTTTTTTAGCATAAAAATATGTATGTAACGCTTATAGTAAGTTTTACCCTCAAAATTTCATTCGAATCACGAAAAGCACTTGTAAGAAAATTATAATAAACCGAAAAAAAAAATGGAGACTTGTAGCTATGAAACAGCCCCTTGCAGCTACGAAACAAAGCAGAATCGGACCTATAAACGGACAAAATAAATCTTATTTTTTCGTCAGAAATTTCCCCACGAGAGATGGCACATGTTTTTTGAAATACCTTGTACGAGTATATTCTCTGATTGGACAGACTTTTCAAATAGCTTATACCGGGTGCGTGTCAAAAGAGGCTCGCCCCTATAACTTTTTTATTTTATCAGATAAAATAACGAGATTTGGTACGTTAGTAAGTATATGACATAAATTAGTCTTGATTGACATATTCAATTGTTTTCTGTCACTTCCTGTTTCACCGGAAATGACTACAACTTTTGATTTTTAAATGGTACCATCGGTGTTTTATTACTTCATTCGATCGAAAATGACACTCTGAATAGAATGACATATCATATGTCAACTTTTGACATTTTCGAATATGGTTTATTTGAAATTCTAACATGCGATTCATAACGACAATTTGACTCGAAATACCAAGTGTGTAATAACAAATTATTCGTAAAAAAATGCTTTTTCCAAATATGCTAATGAGCCACCCTCGTTCTATTTGAAAAAATTGAGATATGATTATAAATACGATTTGGGCATCTTTTAACCGGCCAGGATAAGACACGAATAACATTAGACGATTAAATATATTTTTCCAAGGCTCCTTGATTAAAAAATAGTGTTTTTAACACAGCCATAGCACTCTAGATTGACATTTAAAATTTAATTTTGTTTTAAGCAAAAATGTCAAAAGTTGACATATGATATGTCATTCTATTCAGAATGTCATTTTCTATCGAATAAAGTAAAAAAATACCGAGGGTGCCATTTAAAAACCAGAAGTTGTAGTCATTTCCGGTGAAACAGGAAGTGGCCGAAAGGAATTGAATACTCCAATCAATCCCAATTTATGTCATATATTAACGTACCAAATCTCGTTTTTTATCTGATAAATTAAAAATGTTATAGGGGTGAGCCACTTTTGAGACGCTCCCGGTATACCTATATTAGGAATAAAACCAATATCTCACAGGACTTTTTCAATTTCGTTAGTCAGTAGTTCAATAGAATTATATTCTTATATAACCTTTATCGATATTGACATTCGTTACGATTTATGATACCCACATTAAAATAAAATAAACCGCGCTCCTCAATTAAAATTGTACCAATCCGTACGCTGCCTGCTTCGCTCGCATCGCGACGTACATCCCTGCGCTCCCCTACAATTACGCTCAATGATAATAATAACAGCAACAATAATAATAATTCGAGCCTCGTCGTTTATCTCTGAAAATAATATAATTTATTTCACCCATTCATAAGTCTCCGCAGTGTTTTAGCAGACAGTCAGAGCTGTACCGACCTTGTCTTGATCGCATCGAGGATCGCATATACGCGCGGGCTAGACAGTTTTTAGTCGGAGGTTTTCTCACACAGTTTTTTTTTTCTGTTCACAACCAGCGACCACAGGCGACAGCGTAGAACACGCTGCTTCTACGACAATATTAACAATAATAATAATGGAAAACGGCGATCAGACGTTCCAACACATTGCAGTTACGATAAGCGAGAACGATATCGAAAATGGTGCGTACAAGGTGTTGCAAGAAATCAGACCGTACTGGCAGCCTTCTAGAGTTAAATTCAAGGTGAGTACCCTGTTTTTTGAATAATATATTGGCTAGGAGTAACTTATTAAACCAGAAACCAATTCGAACGTTTAAAATGAATAGCTTCATTGATATAATTATTCATACTAGCTTGTAATTGGGTTCTGTTTTCGAATTGACAAATAAATATGAAGGGTGAGGGGAGAAATCGACGATGTCCATGTTATGGAATTTTTAAGTACCTAATCAACTTAATTTGTTGAGAATACCAAGCCCCAAACACATATTACATTGTCATTGAGTAACAGATGATGTCCAAATAAAGGTCGATCTCGCTATACCTTCCGTTTCCATTCCATATTCGTTCCGTATTTTTGATTGTATTCACGCTATACGTTGCTTCCGTTCCGAATCAGTTCCATACTTTTTATTGTACAATTTCTACGAAAGTTTTATTCTAAAAATTTGTATCTTTTGAAAAAGGTAATAGGTTTAATTAAGAGATGAAAGAATAAATAAATATCAGAAAAATGTTAACAGAGCTGGTCCAAAAACCACGGATAGTGTGCATTGTCCTATTCATTTACATGATATCATATTTTATGTAAACAGAAGGGAAACGGAAGGGAGCTGATATGGAAGGTATAGTGAGAATCAACCTTAACCAGGGTCGGACTGGGCCAGAGGGACCCGAGTAGAATAGTGAGATGGGGCCCGGATGGATTGTTTTTGCGTATTTTTTTGCCTTACGGTTTTGTCAATTTTTTCCTATTGATTAGTGTTTTAAATCAGGGAATTACCCGTAATGCAATGCAAATGTATGTAAATATTGTTAATCCAAAAAAAGTTTTGGGGGATAACCAGAATATTACCGTCACTTCTTCCTTCTTTCTGTTTCATTTCTACACTGAAAAAAAAATATGTAAAAAGAAAAAACTAAAACATTGTATTTTGGTTTTTTGTAAACCATTATATGACACACAGTTGTTCTATTAGCCACTTATCATTATACTTCCCCAACTTAGTTTACAATAGTGCCTAGTAACAGCAAATTTTGTCAAAAATATAGTTAGTAGAGCTACAATTTGTAATAATTATTTTTATTGAAATTGCAACGTAGCCCAGTCAAATTAGAGAAATCGGTGGAAAAAAATCCCACAGTTTTGAAAATGGTTTTAAATGATTTCTCTAGACTTGGGCTGGTATGTGTCAAAAGTCTCCGAAGATAGACGATGAGCTCGAGGAGAGGGGAGGGGGTAAGTGTCACTTTTATGACATTTTAGCTTATATCTCGGAAAATACGACACCTACGAAAAAATACCCTATACCGGGTGTTGCATCGTCGGACGGGACATAGGAAATCCCATGTAAATTTTAATGAGGTCAATTATTGTCTTCCCCTAATTATTTTAGAGAATAATTCTATTTAGGTTTATTGAAGAGCACTAAAACCCACATTTCAAAAGAATAACTTTAGATATTTTTGATTAGCTCGTTTACGAGTTATCGCCGATTTCTTTTTAAATATTTCTCCTTTCTTAAGGCCCTGTATTTACTTATGAGCACCAGTCAAGGTAAAAGATAACTGTCAAATGAAGTTGTGATTTCAGAAATTTACCTATTTAGTGCTTTATTATTATTGAAAACTCATTCCTACATCGGAAATCTTAAAGATGTATTTATAAATACAAATTAATATGAATTAAAGTAAAATAAAGTAATCAATTACAAGGTTAATTATAGTATTATTACAATACTCAATAACTCATTAATTTAGGTACTATTAAATGACAACTTCATTTGACAGTTATCTTTTACCTTGACTGGTGCTCATAAGTAAATACAGGGCCATAAGAAAGGAGAAATATTTAAAAAGAAATCGGCGATAACTCGTAAACGGGCTAATCAAAAATATCTACTTATTCTTTTCAACGTGGGTTTTAGTGCTCTTCAATAAACCTAAATAGAATTATTCTCTAAAATAATTAGGGAAGTCAATAATTGACCCCATTAAAATTTACATGGGATTTCCTATGTCCCGCTCGACGATGCAACACCCGGTATAGAAAATTGAAGCTCAGAAAATTCTTTACAAAATTGCCCGAATGCATTTTTTATAGGTCTAATCTTTCAAGAGTTACAGGGTTGACAAAATTAATACTCTCATATTGTATTTTCACATTTAAAATCCAATTAAAGTCTAAATTTAACCTTTCATATTAATAATAGTAATATTAAAGGGTTCTTATATTATCTTTCAAGTCTTCATTGCATCGTGACTTTTTGCCTTCCATTGGAGAGCACTAGTGCACACAGGACTTAAACTTAACAATAACTGCAAGTTAAAGATTAATGCTGCTTTACGGTAAAAAAGTATACCACAGCATGTAGCGCAGCTGCAAATATTACAGTAATACATGTTTGTATCTTTAACATGGTATTTGGCAATATTAAATCAGCGTTTTCTCCTAAGTCGGTTTGGTGGCATCCCCTTTCCCCCTACCCTTCATGTTATTTGTAAATAAAAGTATAATATAAATAAAAAGTGATAAATATAATCATACTGCTATGTAATCATATTTTGAGTTCAACTTTGCTATATTTTATATTTAGACATTTAGGAATTTCCACATACAAAAACAGAAAAATAAAAACAAGTGAATTCTATACCTTTCAGTAAGATCTATTGCTATACCTTTCCGGTAATATTGCCTCTGAATCAGAAAACTATATATGCAGATATTTATTTTTACTAAAATTGATTTAGAATCCAAAGAATCAATTTTTGATTGGTTGAAAATCAGTAATAAAACAAGATTTTTAATAAGTCAAAATTGAATAATGATTGGTATTGTTGTCAGTTTTCAAAGGTTGGAAGCAAAAATGTAGAAATATGGGTGTACCCATAGGGGATAACTTGCTCTACACACTTTGCTTCGCGGACGATCAGGTGATCATAGCACAAGATTACGATGACATAAATTATATGATACGTAAGCTTATAGAAGAATATCAGAAATGGGGACTCGAGATCAATACTAACAAAACAGAATATATGTGTATCGGAGGAGAACAACAAGATCTAATACTAGAAGAAGGGAAGAAAATTAAGTGCTGCACAAAATACAAATATTTGGGTATGCAAATCACAAATGATGGAATGTTGGATAAATTAAAGCAATTAAAGAACGAAACCAACTTGGAAGGAATGCTATCACGGTACTGAATGGGATACTGTGGGACAGAAGCATAAACAACAAGAACAAAACTCTAATATATGTATAATACCATCATCAAGAGTATAACCACGTACAGCTGTGAAGTGTGGCCAATTAAGGAAACAACAAAACGAATGCTGGAAGCTACAGAGATGGATTTTTGGAGAAGATCAGCAGGCAAATCAAGACTCGAGCATATAACTAATGAACGCATAAGAGAGATTATGGAAGTTAAACATACGATAGTGGACGACATAAAGAACAGTCAACTCATATGGTACGGACATGTCCAAAGAATGGCAGAAATAAGAATCCCAAAGCAAATTATAAACTGGAAACCTGCAGGAAGAAGAAAACCGGGAAGACCGAGAAGAAGTTGGCAGGAAAGGATTGACACGTTTATGGAGGAAAGATCTCTCGTAGACGGTGCATGGAGAGACAGACAGGCATGGAGAGATGGCATCGGAAGACGTAGAACGTTTTAAACTGATTAATATATATATATATATATATATATATATATATATATATATATATATATATATATATATATATATATATATATATATATATATATATATATATATATATATATATAATAAATTTTATATTAATAAATTAATTTTCTCGTTTGATTTCACACGTTCATCAAATCCTCAATGCATCATTTTGTTACTTGTACGTAAAGGGCTTTTGAAGATAAAATTGCGATATTTCACTAGCAAAGAGAAAATATTGATAATTTGGGATCATGGATCATACTAATTTCTAAATATTAATTATTTTAAATACTAAGTTCGATATGTCCAAATTTGGAAATAAAAATACATGTGGCATGATATTTAAGATAAGAAAACAATTACTTGAGGTGCTTAAGTCTGGCAACAATACCGATATCATTATACAATTTCGTACGCGTAGACACTACCTAATACCGAATTTTGCAAGTGCAACTTCTTAAGGAATTTTGAAGATATTTAAGCGTTTCCGTTCTTTTTACTAATTCTGTATATAAAGTCTTTCCAGAAGAGAAACGACGCGACGATTTAAACAAAAGATATCCAAAAAATGACAGACAATACAATCTACTTGAGAATACTGGCTGTCACTGACTGTGCTTCTCTGGTTAAATGGACTATAGTCTATAGAATATCCGAAAAAAAATTGTTATACAGAATGTATGGCCGGCCGTAGCTCCAGTGTTAGTGTGTCGATCTGCGGAGCGGAAGGTACTGGGTGCTGGGTTCGATCCCCAGCCAGTACGGTCGCTTTATTTATTTAAATAAAAATATTTATTTATCTAAATAGAGCGGCCAACGAGCCGCCATTTCAAGGAACCACTTTGAGTATATTTGCCTTGTACAGCTTCTCAAATAGTGCCGTTCGGATTCGGTAATAAACTGTAGGTCCCGTGTACTTGTGAAACACTGATGACACACATCACAACGTTTTAAACTGATTAATACATGCGAGAGGTTGCCGACGCTCTATATAGAGTATGGCACTGTAAGATACAGAATGTGCCCAACATTTCGCGACAAATCAACGAATTGATATTATTTGAAAGCTAGCACAACCTAGCGACCTAGCACAAAATATCGTAGCTATACAGGGTGAACTTAAATAAGTGCAAATATTCTCAGTGCTGCTGGTAGATCTCGATAAAAAAAACATATTTTTGCTTTACCATTTTTCAAGTAAGTGCAAAATAACCGAGATATTTTACTTTGAAAATTAAAAAAAAAGATTTTTCGCTTAAATTTTGAGAAAACGACTGGATGTTTCAACTAAAAATTAAAAAAAATTTAAAACTTAAAAAAA